TTATGCACAGACACTCTGGGGTGCAGGAGGAGCGGAGGGAGGTGCAGGGGCATGGGGCTGGCACAAGACAGAGGCAGGGAGGGGCTGAGGCACCAGTGATAAACCTCTGCTGGATTCTCAGTCAGGGCAGGGGGCAATTCCTTGGCTTCCCCCAAAGGCAGCTCTGCCCCAAGCCCTGTGCTCACCTTGTTCGGGAAGCACTTGGTCATGTGAAGCTCAGTGCTATCGGCAGCCATCTCTCCATTGGGCAGCACTGTATAACCCAGCACCTTGGCAGAGGGTGCCAGCTCAGCCCCAACAGGCAGCTCAATGGAGAAGGAGCCCTTCAGCTCTGGGCCAATGGAGACACATGGGAGAAGTGAGGCCCTGGCACAGACTGCAGAGCTCCCTCCTGCAAATAAATTATTAATCCCACAACCCCCACCCCACCCCTTGGCTGCAGGGGCCTTGCTGCACGCACCCATCCCTCAGCACTTACCAGCCCCCTCTCCAAAGTCTAGTCCTTTCCACAGGCTCCTTATGATGGCTCCCTTGGCCACAACCTGTGGAGGAGATAGGAGTCACTCCTCCTACATGGAAGGCCTGAGAAATGGCATGATGTGGGGAGGGCCAGATCCAGGGCAGGATGCAGTTTCTCTACCCATTGGGCAAAGCACAGATGATGGGGGAGGACATTTGGGCACCAGCAGGTTGGGGCGGGAGTGAAACTGGTGTCCCATTGCAGAAGAAGGCCCTGAATCCCAGTGTTGCCACCCCAACCAGTCCCAGTGGTTGGTCAAGCCTGCAGGACTGTAGCTAAGGCAAAGGGCCCCATACCAGTTTCTGAGTGAGTGCAAGTTCAAATGAATAGCAGAATCTGTAATTTAGGTTAAGCAAAAGATCTTGCAGGGAACAGACCACAGGAAGGCCCTGCAATAAGTAACCCAAGGATGCCAACCTGTAGTTTTAGCACGAGGATGTTGGCAAATGCACAGACTGATGCAGCCAAGTGCAACAAATGCAGCTTTGCTCTACAGTGAGAACACCGCCATTATGCTTTGTAGTAAGCCTATCAAATTGCCAAGCACTGAGGGCGTCAGGCTTCAGGTCTCGCTGGGTGATGAACAGGGGCTTGGGAATCCGTGCTGCGGCAAGGAAAAGCATGAGACAAGCCCAGGATGGGGCTCACCAGGAAGTAGAAATCCAGGCTCTTGGTCTCAGCCCCCAGGGCCTTCCTGGCAATGATGTACTCCACTTGAAGCTGTTGGGTCTGGTCGCAGGGCAGCACCTCTCCTTGTGCATGGATCTTCAGGAAACTCTTGCTCTCCGAGTAAAAGGGCTCCAGGGAATGGTAGGCATCTATGTAATGGGGAGAGACTCTTCCAAGCGCATAACTGTGATCCACCTCTTTGAACTGCCCCTGGGGGAATACAGAGACAATTGAGGATCTCAGGAATCAGCAAAGTGTGTGACATAGGACAGGAGTGCCACAGGCTTGGAGGATGCAGGTTGAGTTCATCCTTAATCCCTCGACCCTGTGTCCATGAGAGGGACAAGGGCAGTCCCAGCAGCTAGAATGGGGCAGCTGCCCCTCAGCAGCTGGGTGCCCGTGACCCAGAGGATCTATCATACTGCCTCAAAGCAGGCAGGCACTCAGCTCAGGCTCTTGTCTCCAATTGTAGCTGGTTGATGCCAGAGGATGGTGCAGCCTCTGCCTGCCTACGGTCAGTTCTGCGGTGATGACCCCTGGGGGTGATTTATTCCCTGTCCCCATGATGTGAATGCTGCAGAAAATATCCTGCCATCCCGGAGCATCCCTGACTCCCAGGCTGAGGTGCAGGGTCTATAATAAATGATAACCAAGGCTTGATACCAGGTGCTCCCTCTACTGCCTATTGGGACAAGACTTCCTCACCTCCCTGATTCTTGTGTCCAGCTCTACAAAGGGCCACCCTCTTGTTTGAGTCCATGACCTGAGCAATAGTTTATTTCAGAAGCCTTCGTTTCCAATGCTGCACTTCTGTCCTGCCTGCTGCAGCTCATGGATTTCCCCTCTCACAAGGGCTCTTCTTTGATACAAAGAACCTCCTGGGCTTTGCCACTGAGCCAGCTAGTGGTTTACTTGCCAGCTGGGGTAGCCCAACAGGGGGTTGAGATAATGGAGGACAGGTTCCCTGGGATGCCCATCTCTTACCCTTAGAGTAACTGTCCCAGTCCAGCTGGAGGAGTCCAGCTCAAAGGAGGCTCTCCCAGATTCATCTGTCACAAATGTCTTGTTCTCTGTCCCTCCCCCATGGGTAACAAAGAGATGAAGCTTCTCATTCTTCACTGCAGATCCATCTGTTACCTTCAGGAGCATCTAAGCCAGAAGGGAAATGGGTGATGTATGACTCTAGGGTGCATTCATGGAGGAAGGGCAAGACTGGAGGAGTTGCTGCAAGGGGACAGGGCTAAGGGGTGTGATGTGAGGGGATAGACGTATAATGGCAGGATATTTTGGGGTGAGCAGTGAGGGGTGCTGATAACCCCATTATCTTGCCAACAAAGGGGATTCCAGGTTTGTACAAAGTGTCAGCATTCTCAAAGGTCACCGAGGCAATGTCAGGCACAATCCCGCAGCTCTTGGTCACATTGCGCTCTACCCCTGGTGGTAAAGGAGGGGCTGGAAGTCAGAGCTGGGTGAAGGCTGTGTCCCAGATTTCTCTCCCAGAAGCTGGGTTCCTCTCTCTAGCTCTGGATTGGAGGGCTCCATTTGGGAAAGAACAGGAGAGGTCTAAATGTGGGCAGAGAAGCATTATTCCTGGGAATTTGGAGACTAGAAACTGAAGCCCTTTCCCTGGGATATAATCCCAACGGGCCATTTGACATATCCCAGCAGAGCACCTTCTCATGGTGTGCAGCACCTTTCCTCACCCTAGAACTCTTCACTGAGCAGCCCTAGCCCTCACTCTCCAGCTCTCTCAGCCCCGGATGCCCCATTTCCTGAAGAAGGCAGTGTCAGATGTTCATGTTCCCCACAGCTCTTCTGCACTGCTCTCTTCCACCATTTAGCCACTTGGTCCCTGATGTCAGCACCTGATAGCTAACATTTTTGGCCCAACACTTATCTGACCCCTTTGGAAGCCAGAGATCTCATGGATGAAATGATGGGTTTTTTATTGTAGCTGTGTTGGTCTAAGGACATAGGCAGACAAGTTTGTTTGAGTAGATGTGATATCTTTTATTAGACCAACTGAGTAGCTGGAAAAAAAATTCTTGGCAAGCTTTCGGGCGTAGTCACCCTTCTTCAGGCATGGGGAGTCTCTGGTGTTCTGAGACTCCAAGAAATGAAAGAAGCTAAAAGTGTGGCAGGATGTCAGTAAGAATGTAAATAGGTAGAATTAGAAAGACAAAAGGTGAGGCAGAGAGGTGAAACAGAGAGGGGGGAGTGGAAGGGAGAAGACAGCAGGGAAAAGAAGACTGAAAGGAGACAGTGCAGTGATAAAGTACATAGAAAAGAGGCTGTCAGGCAGGTACCTGGTGAATCAGATGTCAGGCAGGTTGCAATGTGTCATAAAACCAATGTCTATATTGAGTCCATGAAAGCTTGCCAAGAATTTTTTTTCCAACTATTCAGTTGGTCTACTACAATATATCACATCTACTCAAAGAACCTTTCCTGCCATTGATGAAACGTACATTTACTTTGGGGCCTTATGAAGCAGCAGCAGCTACAGTGTATTGATACCACTACCACATGCATGGAGGCAGTCACTCAGGAGCAAGGACAAGGATGGGTGCCTTGCCTGAGGCTCTGAGAGCAAAGCCAAACCCAGAGATGCTGAACCTCTGATGAACATTATTGTAATCAGAAGCTGAGAGGTCCATGGTCAGTTTAGTTTTAGTATAATGATGGAGCTTCTTGGCTGTAGTAGTAATGACAGGAATCGTGGATCATAGCTCATATCCGCTAGGCTCCTGAGACGGAACAAGCAACCCCATTATTGGGTGGAACAGCAGAGGACAGCACCTGGGCCTGACTATCCCCTGTGCAGGCAAATCCCTTTCAGATCCTGGCTGGGAGCAGCAGCTGCCTGAAGCAGGGAACCTGCTGAGGAACCTGACATCATATGGGCATGTTTTTGAGCAGAACTCTGTCTCTGAGCTAGAAGTTATGCTTTCATGTGTGCAAAAGAGACCCTTCTACCTAGCTGCTACGTGCTGTATGCTGGGTGTGCCAGTACACGAGGCCATGAGTGCATGTGAGTATGAGCATGCATATGTAGGCATGTGTTGATGAATGCTCAAGAGCATGCACACACTTGCATGTGTGTCAATACGTACACACATGTATCTGTATGTAGATGTGCCCCAGAGTATATATTTGGTCCTACCTGTCCCTTCCTCTGTTAGTGAGGCTGTGGCCTGGAGGTTCATTTCATATCCAAAGGAAGATGGGTTAAAATGGGACATTGACACCTTCTTGGAAAAGCATCCATTCTTCTTGGTCTAGAGGAGAGAATTACCAATGCCTTAGCCAGGTCCCACTGGTCACAGCTTGACACATCAAATTGGACTCTGCCTGGCACTGCTTGGAGAGGCGACAAGAAACCCTGGCTTTTGAAAACAGTGGTAGGAGATGCTCCCCTCTGGAGGTTAGTCCTGCTGCTGACATCCCAGCATGGTGCTGGAGCTGCAGTCTCTTTGGTGAGACAGAAAACCTGGCCATGTGCTTCTGTGACATCTCCTGGTGCTCTTCACCCTCAGCATGGGGGCAGCCCCAGCCAATTCTTCCACCCCGAGTGGGGGGCCACCCCCAGCCAATTCCAATCTGTGTCCTTGTTTGTCCTGACACTTTCAGTGGGAATCTACCTTTCCATCTCCCTTTCCTCAGGACTGTGCTGCTGTTCACTGTTAAACAGCTTCTGGATCATCCCCCACCATTGTACATGATGAACTCCAGGGGTTCCCGGGTGTGGGCCACTCAAGATTCAAATGAATGGCTGAATGAGGACCTTAGTCTGCAGAGTGTTTATAAATGATGGGAGGAAGATGGATCGCAGAACAATTTACATCAGGGTTGTCCAAAGGGCAGCCTGTGGGTCACAAGCTGTCTGCAAAGGCTTATAATGTAGCCCATGGGGGTGGTGGCATGGCTGTCGGAGCCAGTGTATTACCAGAGCTGGGGAATCCAGGAAGTGAATGCTGCTGATGCTCACCCTCGTCTCCCCTTGCCTACCCCCAACTTTGGGTTGTCAGTGCCTACTGGTGACTCGAATCAGTGCTGGGGTAAAAAGCAGGGAGGACCATTGTTCATGTTCACTCCCTGGGTTCCAGAGCCATGCTAACGGAGTGGCTACAGCATTGCTCTGACAAGCCACCAGCTCCCCCCTGGAGGTGGTTCGTGAGAAGCCCATGGTTTGGATCTGGTGTTCAGGGCTGAAGAAGTTGGATGGCCCTGATATGCATCATTAGCATTGTCATCAATGCAAGTCACAATGCCCCTTCAGTTCAGCCAAGCAGAAACATCCCACAGACTTTTCTCTCCTCCCCAGTTGCACTCACCTGGCCAGTAAACTCCATGCACAATTGTTGGGCTTCATTACGACTAAATCAGAAACACCAGGCTTTTTGACACAGGCTGATCTGGACTGTCCCCTGAACAGGCTTCCCGTAGGTGTATCTGCGTAGTACAGTTAAGAGGTCAACAAGAGAGGAAGAGTGATGCTTGTCCACTCTGCCTTTCTGGGGTGAGTGGTATTGCAGGGCAGACACCCACGCCCGACCTCAAACCTCCCTGATGTGGCTGATTTTGTACCTACCGGCCACACACACGCATTTCTAATGTCTCCTTCAGCACTGTCACCACAGGGGGCAACTCAAGTGTCACTTCAAACTTGGGCAGCACTGTGGGGAGAAAAGAAGCCACTGATACAGGGGTCACAGCTCCCACAGGATCCCAGCCAGGCTGCCCTTGGGTAGAGCTGGCTACCCTGTGCCTTGGGGCTTTCAGAGTGGGCAGGAGACTGAGCTGAAATGGGGTCTGTGAGGAGCAGGGGGGCAATGGAGGGTGACATGGCAGAGCAGCCCCTTTAGGCCAGGGCTTGTGGCCTCAGGAACAAGCGGCTGCTTAGCCCAGCACAGAACATCTCTACATCAGCCAGCCCTGGAGAGCAGCTGGAAAGGGCACAAGGGCAGGAGACCTTGGCCCTGAAGGGCACAGGAAGGTGGGGGTATCTTGAGACAGCATATCTAGGCTGTCAAGTGAGTGTGAAGTTGTGTGGTGCTTGGGGGTCCCAAGAGAGTGTGCATTGGCTCTCAGGGGAGCACAGTGATGACAGGTGATGAGCATGGTGATGAGCTCACTGCAGGGTGGTTTCTAGAGCCTTGTAGGAGTGTGGAAATTGGGATGTTTTTGGGTCAGGGAAGCAGTGCCTCTGAGGCCGAAGGAGGAGCCTGGAGTTGGAGGCAGCTGGGGGCCACATCTGACCCTGGCCCACAGGTCCAGAGGATGAGGGTGTTGACAGAAGCTGAATGGACTGGGAGGCTGGATCCCCCGCAGCCAGGATGTGGTGCTGTTGGGATGCTGTTTGTGGGGCGGTGGTGGGTGGCTCTGGGGAATTCTGGGATCAGGCTCCCAGAGACCCTCTGAAGGGACACAGATAAATGGCCCACCAACAGTTTTACAGACTGTACTGCTGCTCCTCCACCAGAGACACAGCCTCTGTTACTGCGCTGGGTCCCCCTGCGCACCGTATTCCTCCACGCTGAAGGAGTGCTTAGTGCCCTCCACATCGATGGAGTACGTCCCCAAGGCCGGCTCTGCAGACAGAGGGAGGGACAGGTCCACGATGCCCTGCTGGGGGGCCACATCTCGCCACTGAGCGATCCGGTTCCCGTTGGGATCCTGAACATGCAGATACACATGAGTTAGCCACTCTCACCCACAGAAAGGCTCTGGGGTTTCCCCTCAAAGTGAGCCTAGTACCGGGGCTAGCGCCTGGGTCCACATCTCAAGACACTCAAGGCCTTCTCTGTTTACCCTGAAGAGAATCAAACCTCAGCAAGTGCCCGCCCTGCCCAGACAGCACCGTTGCTTAGGTTGGGAATAGTTAACCCAGGCTAGCTAGGGAAGGCCCATCTCTAGCCTCGAGAAAGCTGAAGAAACAAAATGGAGCAGATGTTCCTGCCCTGACCCTGGAGATGGACTAGGACCCTGGAGGATTTTCCAGCTCCAATTGAGGTCTTTGTGGGTAGTGTTCACTGTCCCCCTCTGCCCATGAAACCTTCCCAATCTTCCTGTCTCCCCTCTCTTGGCACTATCAGGGATCCTCCTACCCTCGTCCATGCCATTCTCCACGCTGCTCACCCAAGTCCCCCATCCTGCTGCTTGCAACACTGGCCTGCTCAAGGTGGTGGCTGACCTGGAGTACAAGGGCTGGAAATGCTCAGGATGAGCGGCCCAGGTAGGGGCGAAGCAGGGCCAAACCCACCTGCATCCAAATCAGATAAAACCCCAGACTGTACAGATTAACAACCCATGAGGCTCATTCCAGATGTGCCTGCTGTTCTGGGACCCTTTACCCTTCCCCGAATAGGGCAGAGGGGCTGGCTTGGCGGGATGCTGTGGTGAGAGCCCAGATACCCTAAGCTCCCAAGACTGAACACCCCCTTGCTGCTTTCCAGAGAGCCAGGCCGGAGAGGGACAGACTGACCTGCAGGGTCACCAGGGGCACCTGCAAAACAAACAGACATAAGACAGCTCGTTAGAGGGAGGGGAACTGCTAGCTGCCCAGGGGTCTGCCTGGGACCTCATCGGGCTTGGGTGTTTACAAGAGAATGGGGGAGGAACCGTGGCAAGCAGTGAGGGTGACTGAGAGAGCAGTGACATGAAGGCAAGATGGCAGAAAAGTCAGAGCTGGCACAGCAAAGCTGGATGTCTCGCCCTCATGGAGCACAGCTGGATGGTGAGTGCCCAGCACCACCCTCATGCAGCTACGCTCCTTCTGGCTTAGTGGAAGGAAGCACAGAACAAACACGGCCTGTCTCAGTACGGAACTCATCCCATGCTGCAATCCTATGGTGAAGATACAAGGGGCGTTTTTTCCAGGTCTTCATAGTTTCATAGATGTTAGGGTTGGAAGGGACTTATTAATTAGATCATCGAGTCCAACCCCCTGCCTTGTGCAGGAATGAATGCTGGGTTCAGATGACCCCAGCCAGGTGTCTGTCCAATCTCCTTTTAAATACCTCCAAGGAAGGGGACATCACCACTTCCTTTGAAAGTGTATTCAATATTTCATAGATTTCATAGACATTCAGGCTGGAAGGGACCCCGAAGGATCTTCAAGTCCAGCCCCCTGCCCCAGGGGCAGGAAGTCAGCAGGGATCCCAGCAAGATAAGCATCCAAATATGCCTTGAAGGCGTTCAAGGTGGGTGCTTGAACGACCTCTGGCGGCAGTCTATTCCAAACCTTGGGGGCTCGGACAGTAAAGAAATTCTTCCTTATGTCCAGCCTGAATTGGTCACGGTGGAGTTTGTGACCGTTTGATCTTGTCATCCCTTGTGGCGCTCTGGTGAACAGACATTCCCCAGATCCTGATGAATACCCCTTATAAACTTATAGGTGGCCAGTAGATCACCCCTGAGCCTGCACTTTTCCAGGCTGAAGAGTCCCATGGCTCTCAGCCTCTCATCATAAGGTCTGTTTTCCTGACCTCTGATCATGCGCATGGCTCTCCTCTGCACTTTGGCAACCCTCGCTGTAAAGAATTTTCTTGTGGTGTCCAATCTGAATTTTCTCTCCTCCAGTTGTTGGCCATTATTTCTAGTTACACCGACAGGCACCCTGGTAAACGCTGTGTCCCCTATTTCTTGCTGGCCCCCACAATGAGTTTTTAGGTGGCCACGAGATCATCTCTCAGCCTCCTCTTGCAGAGGCTGAAGAGGTTCAGGTCTCCCAATCGGTCCACATAGGGTTTTTTCTGTAGGCCTTTATCCAGATGGGTGGCTCTTCTCTGAACCCTCTCCAGGCCATCCACATCCCTCCTGAAGTGCGGTGCCCAAAACTGGGCACAGTACTTCAGCTGTGCCCTGACCAATGCTGCATAGAGAGGAAGTATCACCTCTCTAGACCTGTTTTTGATGCACGTACTTATGCAAGAAAGGGTGCAGTTAGCTTTACTTATTACCTCATCACACTGGTGACTCATGTTCATTTTGGAGTCAACTACTATTCCGAGATCCCTTCCCGCAGTTGTGCTACTTAGAGTGGTACCTGCCAGGCTATAGGAGTGTTGATGATTCTTCCTCCCCAGGCTTAACACATGACACTTATCCTTGTTAAACTGCATCCTATTCTGTTTGGCCCATTTCCCCAGCCTGTCCAAATCAGCTTGGACAGGGTGCTTTCTACTCCCTCGTCCAAGTCACTAATGAAGATATTGAACAGTACCAGTCCCAGGACAGAGCCTTGGGGGACTCCGCTGCCTACATTTCTCCAGGTAGAAACCGACCCGTCCACCACCACTCTCTGGGTGCAGCCCATAAGCCAATTTTCTACCCACCAGACTGTGTAATAATCTACATTGCAACTGTTTAGTTTATTTATAAGAATTGGGTGTGACACTGTGTCAAAGGCCTTTTTAAAATCTAAGTAAATAACATCTACCTCTATTCCCTCATCCAAGCATTTTGTGACCCAGTCATAAAATGAAACCAGGTTAGTCAGGCAGGATCTGCCTGCTATGAACCCAAGCTGATTGCCCCTTAGCATTATTTTACCTGCTGGTCACCCCCAAATGCGATCGTTAACAATTTTCTCAAAGGTCTTGCCACAGATAAAGATGAGCCTAACCCGCCTGTAGTCACCTGGTTTCTCCTTTCTCCCTTTGAAAATAGAGACCACATTGGCCCTTTTCCAATCCTCCAGGACCTGTCCTGAGCGCCACAAGTGCTCAAACAGTTGTGGCAGCGGTTCCGCTATGACTCCAGCTAATTCCCTAAGTACCCTAGGATGGAGATCATCAGGGCCTGTTGACTTAAATACATTCAACCCCTCCAGGTGCCCCTTTACTAAGTCAGCACAAACAGTTGGTGGGTTGATATCTATACCGGGCTTACCTAAAGTCCCAATGGGATGCATATTTGTATTTGTGTCCAGGAACACAGATGCAAAGAAATCATTTAGCAGCTCCGCTTTGGCCATCCTATCTGTTACCAGTTGCCATAGTTCATCCTGAAGGGACCCTAAGTTACCCTGCACCTTCTCTTTGCTTCCTATGTACTTAAAGAATGACTTTTTGTTATCCTTAACTTTTGCTGCCAGCCTAAGCTCCGTTTTGGCTTTGGCTCTCCTCATTGTTTCCCTGCAAGCTTGAGCCAAGCGGGTATACTCCTCCTTGGTAGCAACCCCCTCCTTCCACAGCCTGTAGGCCTCATTTTTCCCCTCCAGGCTCTCCTGGATTTCCCTGCTCCACCAAGAGGGTTTCTTAGCTTTTTTGCCCCCTTTTATGTGTACTGGGATGGTCCTTTTCTGTGCCTGCAGGATTAGTGCCTTGAGAAATGCCCACCCTTCATGGACTCCCATCTCTCCAAGGCTTTCACCAGTCAGTCCCTCCCTAACAAATCTCCTGAGCTTGTTGAAGTTGGCCTTCCTGAAGTCTAGCACTTCTGCTCTACTAGTTATCTTCCCCACCTTTCTCCAGATAGTGAACCCTATCAATAGGTGGTCACTATCCCCTAGATTACCTTGCACCTGCAGATCCTCCACCAAGTCATCCCCTGTGGCCAGTACCAAGTCTAGTAAGGCATTTCCCCTAGTGGGAACACATACCTCCTGCAATAGGTGAAGGTCCTGTAAGGAGGTTAGAAACTTTCGGGAACAGGCAGACCTGGCTGCCTGTTTCTCCCAGCAGATGTCTGGGAACTTAAAGTCACACATGACGATCAGGTCCTTTGAACGCACCACCTCTGAGAGCTGTCTCGAGGATTCTAGGTCTTACTTGTCCCCCTGATGTGGAGGTCTGTAGTAGACCCCCACTACCAAGTCCCTTTCACCCTGACCCCCTGTAACGTGACCCACAGTACTTCAATTTGCCCTTCTTCCTGGTCCAATTTAACTACGGAAGTTGTATATTGCTCCTTAACATAGAGAGCAATGCCCCCACCCTTTTTTCCCACTGAGTCCTGTCTGTACAGCCTGTAGCCCTGAATGTCCACTAGCCAGTCGTGGGTAGGATCCCACCAAGTTTCTGTTAGCCCAACCAGGTCGAATTCTTTATTTGGCTTGAGGGGTTGAAACAGGGTTAGTTAAGGTTAGAGTTAAGGCAGAGTTACACAATTTTCACCGTGAACTTCTGGACTTGCCTGTTTGCTTTTCAATAGACTTGGACATAAAGGAATTGTGGTCCTGGTTGTGCTGTCCAAATTACATTAGCTACACATTTGCAAATTGCTAACACCATATGTGTTGACAAGAAAGTTCTGGTCTTGCTTGTTGTTGAGGTGGTGGTGTTGAGATTTTGGCTTTCCCTGCTGCCTTATCTACAAGTTAGCTATGTTTTGTTTGGGAATTTCCCAAACTTGTAACTTAAATGACCATCTGAACTGAAAGAAACGACTGCTCGGAGCCTGCAGTGGCCAAGATATCCCACTGAGCTGAGTCTTAAAGAAGAACGTGGGATGATTTTGTATTATTTCTATGACTCAGGTACATGACTCAGTTTCCCCACCTTGTTGTATGAGATTATACACTGGGATTGAATGGGGTAACTTCTACCATGGGCTGGGTGGGAGGTAAGCATGTGAGGTGTGGGTATCAGCACACAGCTCTGTAGAATGGGCTCTCTGAAGCTGAACAGAAGTATTCACCCAAGCAAAGAACACCTTGTCAAAGACAAAGGAGGACCTAACGTGGAGGTTAACATTTAATATCTGGCACACAGAGGCAAGAATCAAGCAGACTCACTGGGGACATGTGGTTGGGACTGCAGCACACCGAGCCAGGTCAGAGCACCCAGCCTGCAGGGCCCCTGCAGGGGGTCAGCCTGCCAGCCCAGGGCTGCTTCCCTTGACTCAACATGCTGTGGAGGGGCTGGCTGGGGCACAAGGGTACTTCAGTGTGGGACTAGTCAGGAGGCAGCCCCTGCACTGAAGCATCCTCATGTCCCACTCAGCTGGGACAGCATCTACACATGAGCTGCTGTGGAGTTTTTTAGGCTGGAGTAAAATTAGTTTCTCCAGCCTAATTGGGGTGCACATATAGATGCTGAGACATTTACTATGCAGCTAATTAGTCTACTGCACAGTAAATGTCTCATGTAGATCCTCTCAAGGAGGAGCAGAGGAAGAAGAAAAGGAGGTAAACAAAAAAGACTACATCTTTGTTCTTCACATGCAGATACGAAACTCAGTGTTGATCTGCATCCTGTGTTTTCCCTTAAATGTTGACCTCAGGAAGGGCTTATACATAAATACAGAAGAGCAACTCATGTAAGATAATGCTTGCTTTCTAGAGCCCAAAATCTCCAGAAGAAGATAAAGGAAGTGGCAGTGTTACAGTTACATGGGGTTAAACACTTCTGTTTCTGCCTGTGACATTAAATTTATGGTGACATGTCCAAGCTACTTCCCTAGACCGTATTCTGGGCCCTGCTAGAAAGTGGCAACTGGTTTGATAATCTCTCCCTACTTCTCCACCACCCATATCTAGGACATCACCTTCTTGTGAGACTGGGAGAGATACACCCAGAAGAGGCTGCAATTGGACGGGGGCTGGAATCCAGAGTGACCCTAGTGACATGGTGGTCTGTCCCCTAGCCCTCTTTTATCCTCTCCTCTGACCTTATGGTGCCCTCCCTCACCACACTGCCCTGGTTCTCACCTTCCTGTTACTGGGAACAAAGTCTTTATCCAAACTGACGATTCGGAAGTTCACTGGAAAAGAGGAAATGCAGACACAGGTCAGCCCTAGATTCATTTCTCTGACTGAATTTCCAGTGGGGTTGGGGCCAGGCATGTATGGTCTCTCTTCTTGTGAGAGTGGGCACTGCCTGGGGGAAAGTGGTACAGGCTTCCCCATGCTGTCCTCTGCAAAACAACATGGCCCTGTCCTGGGGGAAAGTGGAGCTTAGTCTCTGGGGCCCAGCCAGCCTTGGTTTCCCTCCTGAGGATGCCAGAGACAAGACTGATCAAAACCCCCTGCCAGGTCTCTCCCATCACTAAGGACTGAGCTGAACTCTGCACTTCAGTTCGTGCAGGTACCACGGGGTGTCAGGGGAGAAAACACTGGGCCCCTCTCCTATTGGGGTTATGCTGAGGCACTGGGGAAGAAATGAGAGCCCCGCTATCCCTCTCTGGTCCTCCCAGAGGAACCAGCCCACGGAGCCAAGGAGCCCATCTGAAGGGCACAGAACCCACGAGCTCTCCCCAGCAGCTCCTGCCTGCTCACCTGTCTGTCCAGGCTTGTAGATGGGTTTGTCTGTCTGTACAAAGGTCCCAGGCTCCAGTGCTTTCAGGAGCACTTTCTTCCGCTCCGAGAACTTCAGGGAATCTCCTTCGATTGACACATTCAGGTGTGCAACTTCCTTCCACCCGGTGGTGGGGGCTGGCACCTGCCCATAGGGAAGCAGCTATGTGATGGTTGTGATGCAGCCTGGCTTTCACAGAAGGGGCTGGAAGGGGTGCCTGAGGGTCCTTGTGCTAAGCCACAGGTCACAAGGCATGCAGGCCTCTGGAGAGGTCAGAGTCAGCAGCTCTAATGACAGCAGTAGGGAGCTGAAGGCCAAAGCATGGCCTAGGGCATGGGATAAAGGGGGGTGTTGCTCACTTAAGCCGGACCCCACAATGTGGAACATGTCCCTGATTCCAGGGAGTGGGACTGGACATTGGATGTGGTCTGTCTGAATGGGACAGCAACCCAGCCCCAGAGCAGTTGTGTCCTTGAGTGTGGAGCTGCTGCCACTTGTCATATTGAATGAAATAGTTTGAATGTTTGTAAAGATTGCCCATTAGCCAGTTTCAGGAAGAAGATAGGATCTATCTCCTTATCTAGCTCATTGTTTCGGAGCTATGTGCGAAATGTCCTGACTTTGCCTAAAACCTTAATCTAAATTGTATCTTTAGAAGTTTTTTACAAAGAAAGTAAATATCCTAAATTCCGAGACATCAAAGCCTAAGGCCTTTTAACCAAATTGCTAAGAAAAGAGTATTTACAGTGATATGGAAGTCTCCCCAAGAATAATTTAAAAATGCTCAACAAAGGTAATTTCTGTTGAGTAAGATCCGAGCCCAAATTTGGGAGTTATGATGAATTGAGTAGGAGGAGCCCAATGATGGCAGCTCACTCAATAAAAACCTGTAACTTACTGTCCCAATTTGGAGGTGACTTCACTTGCAGAACAACGAAGGAAGAATCGCAAGTATAAGTTCTGATTAGATTGATCGCCTAATCAAGCCTCTCCGTGAACACGAATCTCTTAGTTCACGCTGAAGCCGCGGAGCGCCCGAAAGGGACTGAAGGAAGGGGACGTAGTCCTATCACTGGTGAGCCCAGCTCATTGAATCGTATTGCTGAGGCCAGCCTATTGAACCGTACTACTGAGGCCAACCCATTAAATTGTACTACTGAGGAATGAAACCATATTTTGGTATTTGGCTTCTCGGAATTCTAGGATTGTAAGTATATTATGAAAAATAACAGTATTGATTCAAATTTAACTTTTAGTTGTAATTGTAGTTGTTTTTGTAGCACTAATTCTTATAGCATTGTTTGGGAAGGAAGTGCATTCAGAGCATTGTTTCTGATATATGTAACTATTGTGTTTTTAATGTTTGTGGTGTTTCTTAAAGCTAAGCAGTGTTATATACGTAGCAAAGAGTTTTAAAATAAAATTGTGTTGTATAAATTAAGTGTGTAATCATTGTGAAATCGTGCAATCAGCTAACTACTCCCCCAGCCAGTGCATCAAAACGAATCAGTAAATTGTGTGGGATTTTCTCTATTCCATAACCCACTAGAGACACCACTTTAGCTGTCCCAGGGGCCGGGGATGCTGGGCTCTGAGGAATCTCATATTTCTGAGGTGAAGGAAAACGTTCCCATTAAATATCAGAGCTGGATCTGGAGCCAGGGGCCAGCCATGCAGGCAAGGAACAGATGTACAACTGAGGACAAGGAGGCTACACTCTTTTCCATTCCCTGCCAACTCTGTGTCGAGTCACTGAGTGTCCAGGCCTGCATGTTATCATGGGAAACTCCTCACAGAGCTGCTATGGGCTTACCTAGGCATTGGGAATTGCTCTGCTGGGAGACAAGAAATGTTGGCTGGATGCCTAATCCCCGACGCTGTTCCTTCCCATTTTCTGAGCCCTCCAGTCCCCTAGGCTGAATCTGGGGTAAAGCTGGAGACCCAGGAGGAAAGGCTCTAGCTTTTCCCAATTCCTGAACCTGGGCTGTGCAGCCCTGGGTCTGTGACTCACCGAGAAGATCACATTCTCAGTCAGATTGGGCTCCTTGACCTTCTTCTCCAACAGGATGATGTTGCTGGATGGTCTCTCTCTTTCCAGCTGGAGAGTCACCAAGACAGTTTCATTGAGGTTGGCCAAATGGACCCACAACATCCCTTTGTGCAGGTGGTAGAGCTCAGCTGGTATTACCACCATGTAATACCTGGGAGAGAGGAAAGCACAGCATTCTTTTGACCTGGGGCCTACCTTCTGCTGCTGAAGACATTGCACTACAATGCTGAGTGAGGCTCAACATAGGCTGCAAGATCCCCTTTCCTTCACCCCTCCTGCCCCACTGCAACTAGTGCTCAACACTTTTGCTTACTTAGCATGCTGGAACAGAGACCAGCTGGTAGCTGAAAAGTGAGCAGAGACCCACTGTGCAGTGCAGAGGGAAGAGGCTAGGTATTTTCTAGCTCTCTTGAATGCCTGGGTTCTTCACAGAAGAGGTACCAGGTGCCCCACTCCTCAGTGCTGATACCAGTTTGCCAGGACATGAAGGTACAGCTCACTGTTCTCCAGAAGCAAGAAGGCAAGAGAGCACCAGCAGGGCACCTGGCACCACTGCATTTTCTACTGTTTCTCTTCTTTCCTCTCCCCCTTGCATGCATGTTTGTCATATAGGAAGTAGGACCAGGAGCTTGGTATCACTTTAAAAACCTTCTCTTCTTTCCAGAAGGAGCAGCCCTCCCTATATGTACTATGGAGGAGAAGCATGTCAGACAGGGTGATTTCACTGTACAGACTCTGTGCAGCTAAAGGAATGACTGAATTCTCTACAATTTAAATGGCTGAGATGCTTCTCCATTTTCTTTATCTGGTGGGAAAATTGATAAAGATGTTTAATGTTAGTTATTGCCATGGGACAAAGTAAGCCAAGGCCCCAAGACTCAAAACCCTGAGCCATTTTAACTGTACAATGTTATCCTGTAATCCTGGATTCTGTAATGTCAGTATTATGTTAACTTCTATTCTCTACCTTTCTTCCAGCAAAATGCGCACAACCAATGATCTTCCAACAAAAAGAGCTGGGAGCTGAACCCAGGCCTCCTAAGTCCCAAACCCAGCCTTTCCCTGGAGCCTTCCCTCTGCTTCCAGGACTGAGCAGGAGCTGAAGCCGGTTTAGCAGCAGGGACTGCGTTCTCGGGACAGGGTGTTACTGACTCCTGAGCAGCCACCCCTGGGCCGTCTGTACTGCCTCCACATATTCCTCCAACCACCACCATGTGAACGGACAGACATACAGGCAGACATGGACAGGGCTTACGACTTTGAAGAGATCCCAGCTGTGAGATGCAGGAGAAGGAGCAGGCAGGCCAAGGTGGCTGGGGTTCCCATTCTTGGGGGTGCAGGCTGGGAGGTGGATGCACACCTCAGCCTTGCTGGGTCTTTCTTCCTCCCTTTTTCTGACAAGACACCAGTCTGCTCTGGTCTGATATAGTCTCTGCATCAGGAGCTTTGCCTTTAAGCCTGAAGGTAAATAAAGGCTGTGTCAGGTCTCTGACTGGGGGTGGTGGACAGAGCTAAGGCAATATTTACCCACAAACCCCCCACCATTACTGGTTTCAAGGCTCCAAATAGCTGGATTTGTGTTGGGTGGTATGGATAGGTATCACTGTGGCTCAGGGAGGAGGTTGGACTAGTTGACCCCTGGAGATCCCTTCCAGCCCTACTTCTCTGTGATTCGATCATAATGGTGGTCGGAAATAGTCAGGTGAGTGCGTGAGGTCTATTACATGAATTACATCTGGCAGAGGGTGCAGCAGACCCTTTTGTTTTTCAGCAGTGATGCAATAGGACTGAATGAGGGAAAGGGAGTGGGTGAAGTTTGGCAACAGTTATTCTGCTATCACAGAGCCAAGAGCAACACCACAGCGCCCTGTGTTGTTCATGAGGCTCCTGTTTCCAATGGCTTGTAACAGAGTCAAATTGTATTAATCTGGGCTGACATTTTCCTGCCTTGGTTTCTGCCTCAGGTTGAATTTTAGCAGTTTCAGTCAAAATGATTCAATTATTTCTGAGGACATTATTAAGCAGGGAAGCACTAGTGCCATTCATAATCTGTTACACTTAACGTTTCTTTGAAGTACTTGTTGTGCCTCCTGGACTTGGAGCAGCACCCTGAAAATTGGGACAGAGAGGTGCTTATTTCGCTCCCCAGGAAAAGCTGTGCAGTTTAGGCAAAATTATAAATTACAGGAAATCACTATTTTCACATGCTCAAAAAATTTGGGGGTGGGACTTCCTCCTGCAGTCCTCAGCACAGCCTGTACATGGCAGTTCTGAACTGGCGACTCCAGTGTTTGCATTTTGGCCGCATCCACGAGATTGTGTGCATGTCTGTGAGATGGAGGAGAGTCGTTGTAACAATGATATTATATTCTGTGTACAGAGCAGGAGGCAGCTGCTGCTCTTCCCTTTGCTAAATCTTTCTTTTCCAATAATATTTTTCCAGCTGACATGACTTTTCCCAATCTCTAGCATTCAAGTCACCCATAAAAATGACTTTATCTTGTCTTTGGAGGACAGTCCTCTTTAGCTCACCAGTAAAAGGTGTCTTTGTCAGTATCATGTCATGTCATTACAGGGGCTTAGGCTTGGACAACTGAAGAACAAGACCTTGGAAAGGTACATAGTACAAGCTGGACTCAGGTGCCCGGTTGGAGAGAGAGAGTCTGCAGAGATCCCTGGAGACCTCTGTGAATCCCAGGCACTGATGTAGTCATGTAACACAAATGCATCAAGTGCCAAGGTGACATGGCTATCCACCTTGGTGCAGCTAAGGAGACATCAGAAAGCAGCTGCATATCATTCCCTGGCAGCAATGGCCTCACACTGGGCACCACTTCCCAGGAAGCATTTCTGTGGAATTGGAGCTACTAAACAGTGCAGTAAGGGCCATGGGAGGCAGCTCAACCGAGTCATTTCTGACCAGACCAGATCAGAACAAACTTTGCTCTTAGCTGAGCAGGCTGGGAGGGGACAGAGGAGATGACTCCATCACCCTGGTCCAGCTCTAGGGGCCAGGGAGAAAATGCTGCTCTTGGAGATGTTCCTGCAGCCACAACAACAGTAAGGCTGTGGGCACATTTGGATAATTTGTTGGGGCTGTCCCTGGAGACACACAGGTGGCACTGGGTGTGTAGGTGGGTCTAGCAATGGCAGAACTGGATAGTCACAGAGACCTGGCACTTGCATTCCTTATGGCTATGCCTTTCCTGAGTCAGTCTCACACTGGGCAGGCTGGCAGGGGTTTCCCAGCACACACTTGCAACACTGGCCTGTTTCCTGATTGACACTGAACTCTGGTAAAAATTCCTCAGCGCAGGTAAATATTTGATGATAAACCCGCAAAGGGTCAGTAGCCTGGAACTAGTTCTCTATACCCACAGAACTGACATGGTGCCAGCATGACTAAAATGACACATACGCTCCTCCTTAGGTGAACATGACAAATGCCAGCTTGCATAACTGTTGCTCAACCGCTTTGCCCATCTGTTGAGGAAACCAAGTTATCATCTCCCACAAAGAGAAAGGGATCTCCACATGGCAAGCCTGGAACGGCACAGGGAGGCAACATGCAACATACTTAGAAACAATTGTTCTTGCCCCAGAAAAGGGCTGGGGCTCTACTGGGGATGGGCATGGGAGGCAGATCTTATGAGTATGTTTATGTGGGACCTAGCCATGGGGCTGGAGCTTTACTGGAGCAATGTGCCTATGTGAACACATGGGAGCACATGACACGGAGCAATGGCCATAAGTTATTGGAAAGAAGGTTTAGACTGGACATTAGAAAAGGGGTCTTCATAGTCAGGGTTGCCAGGATTTGGAATGGGCTTCCAAGGGAGGTGGTGCTTGCCCCATCCTTGGGGGGTCTTCAAGAGGAGACTGGACAGGCACCTGGCTAGGTTCACATGACCCCAGGTTAGGTGACCCTTTTCTTGCCTGCCAGGGGCAGGGGGTCAGACTAGATGGCCCACTGAGGTCCCTTCTGACCCTAGAATCTATGCTCGGTGCCAGGCGGGGGCTTCACCTTCCTCTCCCAGTGGAGCTTCCCCCCTAGGAGAGAAGCCGATGGAACGAGCCCCACGGCTGCAACTACAGCAGGCTCGGACCACATACCTTCCTCCCCAAGGACCCCTAGGTGATGAAATCCTTCTATGTAGGACAGGATATGGCAGCTAGTTTAGAGGACACTGCAGGGATTGAGCCCTGGATGTTGATAATGAAATGCTGGAGCTTCTGCTGCCTGAGATGCAGACCCAGGCCTGTCAGCTGTCAGGCTTGTGGCTGACTCAATTGCTTTTACTGTCCCATGTAAGAGGGAACTGAGGCCTCTTAAGTGTTGGGACACATGGGACTTGAAGGAAATACAACTCAATTGGAGGGCAAAGAGACGACTTGACACCGGGATACGAGCTGCATGGGGGCTTTTGGAGCCTCACTGAAGAGTGTCTTCAGGCCTTGAGGACCCAACAGCATCTGATCTGAGCTGCCAGTGTGGCTCCTTCCCAGATTAATGGGGTCAAGGAGGAAGTGCACAGAGAGATCATGGCCAGTCCCTTGTGCTCATCATGGCAGGAGCATGCCAACACCCAGACCAGGGTCCTCTGTCTGGCAGAGGTGGGCTGCCAGGTTGAACCCCTGGCAAAGACAGACACCAACACACAGACAAAAGCTCGCCGGTGTCAAAAAGGGGCTGGACACAGGGAGAGGTATGGTGCTTTTCGTACTGTTATTTGTGAGCCCCGGGATGTGAGGTGGATGGGAACTGGGTGATGATCAGGGCCCCTTCTGCCTCCAGGCAGGTCAGGATGACCCATGAATCTCATCCCACAGGATGTCAGTGCCCTGTACCAAGCAGTTGTCTCCTGTGTCAGTCCCTCGCCTCTGGATCCTGTGCTCAGGCAGCTTGGGGGCCACATCTTGGGAGGGGATTGCCCCCAGGCTGTATGAAGCCTCCAGAGGCTGATGGGAGGGGTAGGTGGTGGGCTTATGTATCAGGAGGGGATGGCCTGGGAGAGCTTGCCAGCCCTGCAGGGGTAAGTGGTGGACAGGGAGAGGAGGAGGAGGTGGTCCCACAGAGGCCTGTGGGGGACTGGACAGGTGGTGGGGGCACTGGGGTGTCGCGCACAGCGTTCCAGCTGCAGGGTAGGCTAG